AGAACCTTATAAAATTTGTTTCTTTTCTCAAATATCTAGTAATTTATATAGAGAACTGTGTTCTTTTTATTCTACTATATTTTACCTTTAGTAAACTGTTTTACTTTACAAAAAATGCTGAAAAATAAAAGGCAGTGTTTGTGTTGCCCTCCAGGATGTGTGCATATTTCTGTGAAGGGAAAAAACATATTCAATAATGGAAAATAGCAATTGCTCATCACACAGACTACAGGAACATGTACTGGTTATGGAAAACACTGTTCTTGCAAATTTGTTTTAATATACATTCTGCTAGTAATGTTTCTAAATTTACCAATTAGATTTATGATAAGCCAGAAAGCCTATTGAATCTAGATACTTGAGGCATTTTATATTCCTGACAATTTGCTAGGGTATAGCATCTCTATGTTGGAATACATCTGTGAAATAGCACATTGCACCTTTCCTGTTGTTGTTTTGAACCAAATCTTTTGTTCTGAGTAATTCCATACATTCCTACTATTGTTTTAGTTCTCCATTTGATTCAGAGATTCTGGGGTTTAGACAACTCTGTCCTAGAGTTTGTTTATTTCCAGGATGCATCTGAGTTTGACCTGAATTCTTCCTCTGCTTGATCTAGCTGCATTTGCACCATGACATGCAGACATGATTTCTTATCAACCTTGGCAAATTAGCTGCTCATTGTTGAGCAGCTACATGATTCTCCTCTTGTCTTACTGTTGCCTCTTTTATTTCTGACACATATTTATTTAGTGTGATATAATCTAGGAAAGGTATCCATTTACATCCGTTTTTCCTTTTCCTCAAGGACAGAGATCTTTGAGAGTCCTTCTAGTGTGCTTTTTGTAACAGACAGAAGGCATCTTTAGAAGATATACAAGTTATCTGAAAAATCCGTTGCCCTTTAAAAAAACATAGGAATCCTCGGGAGAGGGCTGAAACTTGAGAGTTTCACTTAGACATTACATAGATTTGAGTAAAATAAATTCAGAGAAAACTTGAGATCTGTATTGAAGTTCACCAATGTGAAGTACAACTGATGGGTTGACTTGTGATATTTTTCTCGTTACTTAGTAAATATCATTCATCCACACATTCAAAGGGAGGAGTTACATTTTGGCTTCTGAGAGGTAAGCTAGAAGAAAAAGCAAAGATGGGAATACATTAGACACAGATAAAATTAAAGAGTAGAAATTGCTAGAGAGATGTGGAAAGATTGGGAGTGATACATGGGAGTAGAGTGCTTGTCTAGGACCTACCAGTGCCTTGGTGCCAACACTAATACCAAGAAAAATAAGAGGAAAGAAGAAAAGAGAGGACTGGATAGTGAGAAAGGGGAAGGGAGAAGGTAACAGTGAAAAGGAAGGGAGGGGACTTAAGAAAATGAAATTGAACAGAATGAGAAAGGAGATGGGATATGAGAAGACTCATACAAAAGTAAGTAGACTCAAGGTCAGGTACTTGAAAATGTAGTGGTTCTAATACGTACCTTGTCAAGGATTGGAACAACTTCTTAAAAATAGTATTGATTTAAGATAGATCAAATAATAAAGCCCTAACTCACACTTCAACCACAGAATGACCCATACTAAGCTGGAAGAAGAGTCTGTGAAAACCCTTATTTTTCATACTATTTCTACAATGCCTGTAACTATCCTGCTCATCACTAAGGATAACCTCATTTATAAAACTTACATTTGTTATACTTTCCTTCAGAATATCCTACTACTAAAGATTATAAATCACATGAAACATTCTGCCATGGTGTGTGCTGCTGTTCTTATTATAAACTGAATTGCTCGACATACTTCTTATATAGCTACTGCCTATTCCTTCATTGGTGAGCCCAGAGTTATCAGAATATTACCTTTAGTAATCCTTATAGAATTCATTTTTAAGTGTAATTTTACCTCATAGAAATATTGGTTGGTATCAGCGTAGTAAAAATCTGGTATTCTTATCACCCACATTGAGTTATTTAACATAGCTCATTTTTCCCAATGCTTAGTATCATTTTCTTATTAAGTTTTAAAGAGTAGTACATCTTTTAACTCTTATTAGATAAGTTTCTTTTTTCAGCAGGTGACAATTAATACAGAGATTCACAACTAATCAACATGCAATGGATAAGAGACTGGTGCAGAACTAAACTTTGAATTGGGTCACCTGTATCATTCCCCACCCCACAAGGTCCACAGATGGTTGTAGAAGAGAGGGAGGAAATATTATATGGGGCAAAACTAGTGGGTATCTGCAACAAAATATTACTTGCTGGAAGTGGTAGGGCCTTGGCACACACAAAGACACAGCAGCTCTATGTGCAGACCTGTACAGAAGTTAAATCAGAAAAACTCCTTGACTGGATATGGGAGAGGTATGCTTATAAAGCCCATACTAGCTGAGTAGCTGTTGCACATGGGATGCTACTGTGGCAGGTTTTTTTCAGTGATAGTCTACTCATGTTCCTTTACATAAATTGTGTTATACCCATACAAACACCTAGAGCAGTAAGTGGACTCGGTTGGTTTGGTAAAAAAAAATTACCAAGAGTTTGGAGGTATGGAAACTAGACAGATAGCTCAGCAGTTAACAGTTCTTGGTTTTCTAGAGGACCCACATTTGGTTCCCAGTACCCATTTTCCATGGCATACAGCTAATGTGAGTTATATCATGTAGTTACAGATGTCTGTAACTCCAGCTCCAGGATATATGACACATTTGGACTCTGAGGGTACCTACACTCCATGCACATACCCACAAGAAGACACAAACATAATTTTAAACACTGTAATCTCTTAAAATCTGATTCTAAAAAGAAACTTGAGAGGCAAAAGTGTTAAGGAAGATGAGGGAGGACACAAAACTAGGAAAGGGCAATGGATTTGATCAAAACATACTACATGTAAGAAGTTCCCAAAGAATAAAAGAAAGTTAAAAATGAGCCAGTTCAATAGTGAAGGTAGTATGAATAGCAAAGCTGTACATAATCTGTATAAAATTTAATGTGATCTTTGCATAACATGATCATTAATTAAATGAGTAAAGAAAATAACTATCCCCCAATTGGCCTGTGGCCCATCTTTTAATACCAAGTAACACGTAAGTCAAAAGTCAAAAGAAAACATGTGAAGCCTAAACACAATGAAAGCTCTCCAAGTATTTCTTTGCTTTTCTGACCTTAAATAAAGTTTAGTGTTTACAAAAACTAATCAGGACTGAAAATTTAGTCTGTCACTCCAGTCTGGAATGACAAACACGTTGATACTCTTTCAACTTTCATTCTTGTCTAAAATAGAAATTTTGCCTACAAAGCAGCATTCTGAGCAGACAAGCAGATGTGTCAGGAATTGACAAGGCAGCATCAAGTAGAAGAAAGTAAGAGATTGGTTTGATGAAGTGTCCAAATAGAATAATATTCATAACCGCAGCCTGCTCATGTTTGTCAAAAGAGCTTCGTGCGTCTTTCCTTCTGTCGCTTACATTGGGAACTGTATTAAGCAATTTACTGAGATAATCCCTTTCAGGGCTGTTGCTCCTCAAGTGTCAAGATTAAGTTTGGGAAAAGAGATCAGAGAAATCACAAATAAGTTTGAAGTTTTATGTATAGCTTGTTATTCTACTCTGTCTCATGCCTATGCGAACGTGAAGAGCCTGCTTGCTAGGAAACTCAAAGGGAATTAAAGCTTCCAAAGTAGTAATCATTGAAACGAAGGCTTCTTAAAATGCAGTAGCAAGATCCCTGGTTTGTGTGTCCCATTTTATAAAAGCTAAGATAGTGTTAATACCTAAGAAAATTTCTAATATAACCTTTATTTTTTTAAATAGAATGGTAGGCTACAAAACCTTTCAAGAGGGGTTCTTCTGTAGTGTAGTATCAAAACAGATATTAAAGCAGGCACACACTGATGTGATGATGTGAGCCTCAGTACTCATAGAGACCGGACTGCAGTGAGAGATAAAAATGAATGTGTAAAAAGCAATGGGGGAAAAAACCCTCATAAATTCAGTCTCATTTCAATATCCTTCCTTGTTCAGTAATCCTTAGGGAACTGATATTTCAGAGTAATTTGAGGAATTTTTCTATGCTTATGTTTTCTTACTCAAAAGTATGGTTTCATAATTCTGAATTAGTAATTGAAATGGTAGGGTAAATTTTATCTCAGGAAAAGATACAATCTTTTGTTGATTTGAAGAGGAAAACTCTTCCTTCAGTCACATAACTTTCTTGTGAGGCAGACATACTTACTGTCTTCAGAAATGACTTACTGTAATATCCCCCTCAAAGTGACTTAATTGGGACATTAATCTAAGCATGTTTGTTATTTCTGAGCTCATTACTGCCTAAGGGAATCCTTGTGCGCAAAGAAAATGATACATCCTTGGTAACTATTGATGAGTCTGTTGAACTTTGATAAGAAAGCAGCTACTTTTAAATGTTTTTATATACTTGTGTCATGAGAAAAAGTATAAGATTCATTTTAATTTGCTAGGAAAAGAGGCACTGTTAGAAAAACCTGCTTATTGTCATTCTGCAAATATCAACATTCAATGAATATGTGTCACAGCAAATATTATGTAATTATTTTTAAAACAGATATTGAAGGAACAATCTTTTTATAATTGTTTCCAAATGTGTCAGATACTCAACTGAATATATTAAATAATTTTTCTGCTAAAATGATCCCAAGGGTCGGGTGAAGGTGGTACATGCCTTTAAGCTCAGAACTAGGGAGACAGAGAAAGGAGGATCTCTGTGAGTTTCAGGCCAGCCTAATCTACAAAGTGAATTCCAGAACAGGCTCCAAAACTACACAGAGAAACCCTGTCTTGAAAAACCAAAATAATAAATGAATAAATAAATAAACAAACACAGAGAAACCTTGCCTTGAAAAATCAAAATAATAAATAAATAAATAAATGATCCCAAGGAAAAGACCATGGATCAAATAAATCTATTTTTGTATTTGGAAACCTTCTATCATGTAAAAAAATATTAAGTTATACTTACCTGGCAGGGGAGATACCATAATGTAGAAGCTGGTTTTCCCTGGGCAAAGCTAATCCATTGTACTCCAGATGTTCTGATCCCTGCAATTTCCATAAATGTATGAAACTTTACAGCATAATTTGTGGGGGACTGCATTCACACCTTGCTAGTTATAAAAACAGAAAAAAGAAACAAAAATCCAAAGTTAATTTTGCACTATACATAGTTGTAATTATAAATGAAGATGTCTCTTGATGATTTTATTTTCACAATCAAAAGCATAGTTTTGGCTCTTGATTGCCTGAATGAGATTAAAAACCATAATCTTGGGAAGGATTGGGAGGGAGGTTATTTTCTAGGGGCAGGCTTGGAGGTTTCAAAAGACTTAGGTCATTCCCAGTGCTCTCTCTGTCTCTGCCTAGTGATTGAGGATTGAGATGTGAGCTCTCAGCTGTTCCTGCCACACTGGCTTTGCTCTGTAGTCATGGACTCCAACCCTCTGAAACCATAATACCAATTAAGGGGTTGCTTTACAAGTTGCCCTGATCATGATGTTTTTTCACAGCAAAAGAGACGTAACTAATACATGGACAAACAAGGTCCTTTCGAAGTGAATGGACATAACTATCAACAGGTAGAGGAATGTTCGCTGCTAAACATAACTCTCATTGACCTGACCTAATCATTTTCTTTTTGTGTAATGATTTGCTCACATTTCTATGTAACCAATGGTATATTGTGTTTATAGTAATTAGAAATGCCTTCTGTCATTTATGGGGGTTGCAATTGAGTCAGGAGAGCATCAGCATGAAATAGGATTGAAGAAGCAATGAAAAAGACCTAAAATGAGGCTAACTTGGGACAGCTATTACTCACATAATTCCTTGTTTTTAAATGAGGTTTGAAAAATGACACTTCTATGCAGCTTGTTTTCCAACTCATTGGTGGACACCTTAGTTACATGTTTCTTAAGTTTACAGTGTTTCAACTATGTGTTATCAGTTTAAAATTTCAAAGGAGTATTATTTGCCATGCAGTTTATCTGAAGATTAAGCCAAAAAAATTATTCTAAAAACTTTAATACAAAGCTATTGAACACAGGATGTAAAAATCTATTATCCATAAATTATACTTATATTTGTGTAATAAAAAGGCCAGAGGGACTGTCATATCCTCATCTTATCATTTGTGTCCCATAACTATGCTGTCATTATCAGCCATGAACAGAGTAGAATTATTTTAATAAGCAGTTTTCTTATATTATCTTTGTGATCTTAAGCAAGTTATTTGTCTGTTTTCACTTCTCTATCTGTTATTGAAAGTGAATAAATGATACCCAAAAACCCATGAATAGCAAGAGTTCAGGCTAGAGTGCCTCCTATCCCTAAATTATACATGAGAGTATTTTATTCTTGTAACAAGAAATACTCACATTTAGAAATAATCTGAGTACACAAGGAATTGATACTCAGTTTCTTTTCCTCTTGCAGCATTTGAAATAATCAAAAGAGCTATCCAAGCCCAAGTGCCTCAGAATATTCATCAAACTACATAGGTTGTTGAGAAAGCATAAGTTCCATTTGGTGGATAAAATCATTTGCAAGCTTGTCAACTCTATCAACACATGATAATCAGTAGGCAATTAACTTTCTCCGTGTTCTTATAATTCTCAATCAATAACATCTAATTGCTCTGTGTTGCAGTGAGTGATTCTCCAGTTAATGACTAAAATGAAACTTCAGAAAACATAGAAGAGGAAATTATTATATCAGAAACAAGTTTATAATCATCTTATAAGAGTTTTATTTATAGATCAAACTTTTGTTTCACTGAATTGAAGTTAATTAGGTTCCGTATATTCAGTATAAGTCAATGAATCTCTTTAAACATAAGGTTTTTTCTCTGAAATAGGAAAAGACCATTAATGATGAATTACTACTCTCACTCATTACTGTGAGAAGTGAAATAGTGAAATGCAATGATAGAATCCAGAGCCCAGTCAGCTAAGATTACATACTTTGTTCCAAGGGAGTCTAAAAATATAGGTCTTATACGTCCAAAGAGCACACAGATAACTGCTGAGTAAGTCAAACATAAACAGGAAAGAAATTTGATAACAAACCTTGGTGGAGGTCCAGATCAAGGCTAATTACTGCCACTCAATGCTAAAAATAATAAGTTAATAAGGTGGGAGGACAAAGGGAAAGGCAACGCATGATGAGCCTTCCTGCTCTAAAATCTGAAACCTTGACCCGCCTTCAAAATGTGCTTCTTCCCATGAAACTGCCTAGGCTGATGTATGGGTTAGCAATTTGGTGGAGGAAGAGGCCAAACAGAGCTATGCTTTGGTCATGTCACCTGTGTTGAAGATGATCATTAGGGAGGAAGCCACAATCTCCCTGATTGTGAAAATATGCCAGACGCTCTGTGGATATAGCATCTAGTTACATTCTCGTGCTCATTAAAGGACAGCAATAATAGGATCGGCTGTTCAATGTCACAGACCTGACCCCGCCTTTACTATAAATTTTGTATACAATATCTCTTTAAAAGTTAGTACCATAATAAGATTAAGAATGATTTAACAAAAAGCAGGTTTTTATTATGAAACTATTTGCATTGATAAGAGTTTCTCTTATGACAGATTAACTCAGCAAAGTAATGACAATGCATTGTAGATAGTCAGTAAATATCTTCTGCCCAGCAACATTGTGGAAATTTCTCTAACTCATTCCCTGTCTTACTAAACAACTACAAGAAGAAGCCAACCTTCTAATGATTAGTTCCCTTTAGATTAAAAAATTGTAAAACTTAGATTGTGTTCTTGATATATATTTATTAAAAATATCAGCTCAAATGGATAACATGTACAGAAGTATTTTATGTCCAGAGAGGTTAACAAAGTATGCTGAGACATATATTCATATATATCTGAAACATTTACTCCTTTTGCATGGAAAAATTCTGTATTACATGAGTGTACCAGTACCATATATATTTCCCACCTATGTGCCTACTCAATTTACAACATGTTATTCAAATAAAGGTTACATATCCTCTTGTAGAATTAAAATGCCAATAGAGATTATTTGCTCAAATACATACATGGTTGAGTACCATAGGGAAAAGAATAGCATCTATTTGGTATACTGGCTTTCACCAAAGTTTTATGTTTTCTTGTGCATAAATTCTGCCTATATCTAGTATTTAAGTGTTCATGTGTTTGAAGAGTATGCAGTGAAATTGTTTGTAAAAGCTGCTGTTGTCCGAATTATTCTTATTTAAATGCATACGTATATATACATATTTATAGAGTCATACATATATTATCAATAAATATAAACATATATCATATATATGATATATATTGTCATGAGCACATATGTATGAGAGACATATTTATGTCTAAGACTACATACTTACTACAAAGGGAGTTATTTTTTGGAGATGGAGTTGCTTTATGATACATTCCTTTGACCTGAACTTTCTACAATAATTACATGGTTGTGACACTTAAATGATACACATTTGCCCATTCATCTGAACATGGACTAACAAAGTTTCTAAGAAAAAAGTAAAATTGCTAGAAAATGGAAATTAAAGAGATGCTAGAGACATGTACAATTTTTCTTATTAATGTCAACTTTTGTGAGACGAAGTATGTTCAAAACTATTTGATTATGAGGTAATTTCCAGGGAGATTTTTATGGGGATAAATGAAACTAAATAGAAAGAAACCCCTCAAAGTTAACTTTACACGAAAATGAAGAATACAAGCAAAGAGTTCTTTTAAATCTACATAAGACCATGTTAATAAGCTGTCCTCCCTCATTTATTGCTGTTATTGATATCATTCATATTTCTTTTCTTTCTATGGATTTAAGAGCTTATAAAGAAGAAAACAGAAATATATCTGAAGAATCCATCATGGAGTTTCTAGCTCATTTTGTTTTAAGATGTATAAGCCCATCTTTTGCTAAGACAAAATGTTGAATGTAAAACCACACAGCACACCTAGAAAGTGGAGCTTTCAATATTAGTGGCAATGAACAGCAGGCATCAGTTATAGACGTGTCAAACCAATCTTGGCTCTGGCAGAGGGTGGTGTCCAAGCCCAGAGGGAAGAATGCTGCAGTATGGCATCCATGAAGTGATGTTTCTGTTTCCCTTTTATGTTCTACATATGGCAATCAAGAGTCTCATTAAAGTAAAGAAGTCTGCTCGTCTGCTGTTCATTATTCTCTGGGATCATTAAAAGTTGCTTTTTCAGAAGAAAAAGTTTCCTTTGGGTAAAAAATAGAGAGACTTGTCTAAAAAACTCTTATCTAAAGAAAAAATTCCAGATTGTGGTATCCCCAGACAAAACTTAACATGGACACTCACAAAACACAAGGTTCTTCCTAAGAAGGGGGAAAAATGACTGATACAGAGAGAATCACGAAAACATTAGGAAGCCCAAGAAAACTATTAGTGGAATCAGCTCTATGCAAATGTGCATCAGCGTTTGCATATTTTTCTTTTTCCTGCTTCATATATCAAGAGCCCCAGGTGGTGCTTTAAGAATTGCACAGTTTGTTTTGGAATTCTTTAACAATTTGTGTCTTTTGCTCATTCTCCAGCTGTATCAAAAAAAATGGCGAAAAGAAATGTTGATGGGAACTTCTCATTGAGAGAAAACTAAAATCCCTTTAAGTATACAGTTGATGACAGATGAATGGAACAGACAAATATTTAGTGATCTAGAAAACCATAAGATCTCAAATGAGGCATTTGTTCTAAAACTGGGTTCTATATTTTTCAAGAAAATATGAGTAAGGAGAAGGACAGGATAGAACAAGAAACAGGAAAAGCAAGGGACGGTTTACATAAAACAAATGCATGGCTGTGTCATCTACATGGGAAGAGGGGCAGAGGCTTGGGTCACAGGTTCTCCAGAGGAACAGATCTCATGCTGAAAATGGATAGTAAAAGGACACTTATCAACTTGGCTTAGATCTGGGTATTTCAACACTGTCTGTCTTTACAACAGAGAGTCTGAGAAGCCAGGAGCCAGCCAGTCCACAAAGTAGGATGCCTCAACAATGCCAGTGTACTGAGGAGCCTCTTCTCTTGAGTCCATGTTGGAGGGTCCAGAAACTGGGTTTTGATGCCCTGGCAGCAAAAATGGGGT